GGCGGGGGCCATGATATTTCCCCAGATTTCATGGCGCCTCTTCTTGTTTCATTACGTCCCTGGCCCCCCCGCTGGGCCGCGCACATGCCGCCAGTCATGATTTGCACCCCCCCCCTCTTGGACACCCCCCTCTTGGCCGCTCCCGAGGTTCGCTGGCTTCGGACGGGGCTGGGACGAGGATCAGTCCGTCCAGAGCGTGGAGCGCCCTCAGGGCGTTCCGGGACGCTCTGGGAAGGCCGCGGCGCCCGATGCGTCCTCCAGGACCGCCGGATCTCAAACGGGTGGTTTTCAGGCCTGCGTGGGCCCCGGAAACAGAAGGGCCGTTTTTTCACCGTTTCCATAAAAAATGTCCCTTGAAAATAGAAGCGGCAAAAAAACGGCGACCGGAAACGGCAAAAAAACGGTTCCAGGATTGGAACCGGAGCCGGAACCGGTGAAAAAACGGCGACGGAACCGGTGAAAAGACGGCGTTGGAACCGGCAAGAAAACGGCAAAACGGAACCGGTGAAGAAACTGCCCTGTCGTTTCCAGGGCCCACTGCATGAGGTCCAGGCCACCCAGAGGGGTAAAACGACGCGAAGATCGGGACAAAATCGGATCGGGATAACTCGAAATCTCTGAGAATCGGCGGGTTTGGAGGATGTATTGGGCGACGCGGCCGCTCCAGAGCGTTCCGGAACGCTCTGAGAGCGCTCCGGGACTCTCTGGAGCGATTTATCCCGATCCTAGCCCTGTTTTTTGGGGGTATCTAACTTGGTTGCCTCGAGCTGGAAGGAGCTTTTTACGCGTGCGAGCCACCCAGCGGGGGGGGGTATTGTCGTGGGAGCGCCCACAGCGCGAAGGACCGCAGGAGCCCAACAAAAGGAATCCATCAACGCCCTGTGTGTAATAGCCTGACACAGTTGCTTCGGCTGGTGGTTCTCCAGATTTCCCACTTGGGTATCTAACAGGATGTTTCGGAGCTGGAGACACGTGTTTCCACATGCCCACATGTCTACCGCGGTTGCGGTCGTCGCCGTCCGCCGTCGTTGTCGTCGGCGTTCCGGCACGCCACTTCTCGATGCATTTTGCCTCCGTTTGGATTCGCCCTTCTCCTGTCGCCGCCCTGCTCTGCGTGCAGCTCTGGGCGAGCAGTGCGCCCAGGCAGCTCGAGCTTGAGTTCCATGTATGTCAGGATTCGCATGCCAGGGACGATTCGATCCCCGACGCAACAGGGCACAGAACTGTGCAGATTCGCCCCTTTTCGGTTCGTCCCGCTTCCGAACTGAGTCGGATCTTGCGCTCGAGCTGATCGAGCGCCCCGCGCGTTTCGATTGCGGCCAGATCTGAGTTATGCGTTCAGGCAGCTCGAGCTGAAGAACCAGGTCAGTTCGATCGAGATTCTAACGCTACGGTCGACCTGATCCACGATGCAATACAGCACAGCACATCAACGCGGTATGGCGCTGTTCGCCCCCCACCCCACCCCGCCCTAGGAACATGGAAAACCGACACCAACACCGCCAGTGACCACCAGCGGGAGGAGCTAGGGAGAGGTTCCTCTGGTGGTGTGGTCCCCCCTTTTGCTCGAGACATGCCCCATCCCCCATCCCCAGTTCGGTGAGGCATCGTGGCCCCCTGGTGATGGTGTCGCTTCTCCTCCCCCCCCCCCCGACCGCGCGGCGCGCGCCCCCCTTCCGGGGAGGAGGAGGAGGAGGAGGAGGAGGAGGAGGAGGAGGAGGAGGAGGAGGAGGAGGAGGAGGGGGAGGTCGGAGGAGGAGAGGAGGGAGGAGGAGGAGGAGGAGGAGAGGAGGAGGAGGAGGAGGAGGAGGAGGAGGAGAGGAAGGAGAAAGAGGAGGAGGCGGAGGAGGAGGAGGAGGAGTAAAAGCAGGAGGTGATCAGGAGGATGAGGCGGCAAGAGGAGGAGGCAGGGACCCCGCGCGCCCCCCGTCCGCGGCGCGGCGCGCGCCGCTCCAGCCCGAGGAGGCCCCTGGGGCTGCAGAGGCCGCGGCCGCCAGGACCGCCCCACTGCCCCTCCCCCTCTCCCGGGAGCCCGGGGCCGCCTCTGCGGGCGCGCTCGGGCGGCTGCGCGCCGGGCACTTCTTTTGGGTGCCCAAGAAGGAAGAGGGAGGAGGAGGAGGAGGAGGAGGAGGAGGAGGAGGAGGAGGAGGAGGAGGAGGAGGAGGAGGAGGAGGAGGAAGGAGGAGGAGGAGGAGGAGGAGGAGGAGGAGGAGGAGGAGGAGGAGGAGGAGGAGAGGAGGAGGAGGAGGGGGAGGGGGAGGAGGAGGAGGAGGAGGAGGATCAGGCTGTGCACCTCTTTTGGGGGGGCCACCTGGGCCCTCAAATCGCCACCCACCATACGATAGGCACATGCTTCTCCCCCCCATTGCCATCGCCCCCGCAGTCAGCTCTGCCCAAGGCGGTTTGAGGCATTCTGGGCCTTCCACATAGGGTCAGAGCGGATGGGGTCGGAGGATCGCACCGCATCGCCGATGCATCGGCGGTGCGTCTCGATGTGGAGTCCGATGTTCTTCACGTCGACGGCGCCGATACATCGCCGACGTCGCCAACGTATCGCCGATGCACATCCTCCGACCCAATCTTCTTGGACCCTACTTGGGAGGCCTCCAGACATCGCGCCGGAAAGGGCTGTCGCAATTTTCGGCGTCCGTGGCCAGGGGCCACGTTAGGGGGATACATCGCCGACGTCGCCAACGTATCGCCGATGCACATCCTCCGACCCAATCTTCTTGGACCCTACTTGGGAGGCCTCCAGACATCGCGCCGGAAAGGGCTGTCGCAATTTTCGGCGTCCGTGGCCAGGGGCCACGTTAGGGGGAGAGTAGACTCAGGGGGCCGTTGCTTCGAGGCCTGAGGTTTCCGGGCTCTTCGTCTGTTCTCGTCGGCTTTCTGGCCTCGGGATGCCTTCCAGCAGCTGCGCCTCGCCGAGGGCGTTCCGTGAGTGCCCGGATCGTCCGGAACGGCCGCCGGAGACCCGAGTTTCGATCCGAAAGCCAGGGGGGCGAGGATCCCAGACCCCCGACGTCGTGATTTTTTCATGACGTCGACCCCCAGAGGTCTGGACCCTTTCCCTGGGACCGGTTTTTCATCCTGAGTCGTTTTTTTGACGCTCCCGCGGCCCGGTGAGGACCTTCAGAGGGGGAAAATAGTGAAAAACCTTCCGTCGTGATTTTTTCACGACGCGAGGGGGTCTGGGGATAGAGGCTCGGGGGGGAACGCCTCGACTCCCAGCCGCCCATTCATCGCCGACGGGGGCCCGAGAGCCCACCGCGCCTGGTCTCGTGCGGGGCCGCTGTCGGGGGGCCCATCGACGAGCTCTCGGCGATGCATCGCCGATTCCGGGTCAGTGTTTTCCCCTTATCGAGCTGGTCCCCCCCTCTTGTTCCTCCTCGCACGGCGCCTGCAGGCAACGACTCAGGATGGCAAGCCGGCCCCGGAGCTTGAGGGGTCGGCGACTCTCGGGAGCCTCGAGCCGGGGGTCAATGCAAACGGGGGTCAGCCAGGGCAGCGGATCCTGCAGGATCCTGCGAAGACCCCCTCTGGCTGACCCGGGCTAGCGAGCCGCTCGCGGCCGCGCACATTGGCTGACCTGGGTCTGCGAAGGCCTGCGTTGCAGTTTTTGCTTCCCCCCGCATTGCAGTGCTTGGCTTCCTTCTGGCCCGGGTTTGGATTGCCCCGGGTCAGAAGATCCCCGAGACTCGACCCGAGTCGCGTCCTCGATGGCTCGGGGAGGGAGGGAGGGAGAGGCGTGCGGGGGGAGAGGGGCGCAGGCCTCAGGCGGCGCCCGAACTGCACGCCAGGCATACATGTCACACCCTGGCCTCTCAGGAAAAAAGCAAAAACAAATCATATGAAAAAAACAAAAAACAAAACAACAAAAAAGAACACCTCGGCCTCTCAGGGGTCCGTTCGGGACCCACAAAGAGACTCTTGAAGAGCGGCTTGCGAGGAAGGGTGTGCCCACGGGATGGGGTCAAGAGCTCCAGGGCCTGCGTCGTGAGAAGTCACGACGTAGAGGGTCTAGGGAGCCAGAGGGCAAAGTTGGTGCCAGAACATGAGGCCGTCTCCCAGCAGGTGCCCCCCAGTGAATGTCTCAGGCCGCAGATCTGGGAGCGCTCAGGGGGGTGGGGAGGGGCATCAACTGTGCAAGCTGTACTGTTCTTGGCCCGGCCCGTATTCCTCATCTCCCCCCCCCTCCCTTCGGGATGTCCGATAGGGATCTGAGCAGACGCGGCCCGAGGATCGCACTGCATCGCCGGTGCATCGGCGACATGGCGCCGATCGGGAGCCCGATTCTCTCCATCCAGAGGTCGCAGATGCGGGTCGATCCTCCGACGCTGTTTGCTCTGGCCTCATTTTGGCAGCTTTCCTGCGTCCCCTCTGGAGACGGGAGCGATGAAGGAGTCTGCGATTTCGCGCCCAATGGCGAGCCCCCCGGCCAGGCCCATCTTGGGCTGACGGCCTGTCCTGTACAATGCTCATGGCTTAGCCGGGAGAGTCTAGGCACAAACTCAGCACATTCTCTTCTCTTCATTCCTTCTCTCCCCCCTGCACCTCTCCTGCAGCGCGTTCTGACCAGGATTTCCACAGCGGATCCAGCCTCTTGGATGCAGGTCCACTGGAACATTGCAACAACAGAATTTTTCGGAGGTCCACTCGGATTCCTGTGGTCGGCACTGGACCCCCTTGGCTGCGCCTCCGGCGCTAGCCCTGGCGCCTCTCAAGTCCTACTGCTGGCGGCCAACACTTCTTTATGGGGGGATCGGACGTGAGGTTCCAGACATGTGACGTCCTGATGTTTTCAATACGGGGTCCAATAAAGTCCTGCCCTCTTCCCCGGGACCGGTTCTTCATCCCGAGTCATGCTTTGACGGTCCCGAGGCCCGGCGAGTGCTCCCCGAGGCCGAACATCTGCAACTTTTGTTACGACGCGAGCGTGTCTGCACTTGGCGAGCGCCTCGCGGCGAGCGTCCGAGCCGCGGCCCTCCCCCCCGCTTTGCCCGCGAGGCTCGCCGGCCCGCGAGGCCAGCCCCAAGGGGCCCGACCGGCCGCCGAGCCCCATGCTGGGCTACGCCGCGCTGCTGCCCGTGAGCCTCCTGCTGGCGCCGGTGGCCGCCCCCGACGGCCGCCAGACGGCCGCCCACCGGCGACCGCCGAGGGGTAAGGGAGGCTGACGATTGATAAATGGCCGGGGGTCGTGTTCCCGCGGCGGCGCCCGGGATGACTATTCGAAAGAGCCGGCCGCGGGCTGGAAAGCTATTTCTTGCACCGTGCTCCTCCAGTCAGAACGTTGTGCAGGAATAGCAGGGAACTGTTTGTTTCATCGTTCTCTCCCATTTTTTTATGAATCGTCATCCCGCATGAGGCCGGCCACGTGCAGAGGTTGGACAGACCTCCTGCCCTGACACTTCGAGCAGCGAGTTGGCCGTTTTCGGTTCGCGCGAGGGCGTCGCGGCCGTCCTTTCTGCGGGTCCAGGTCCGTCGGTTTCGGTCCCAGGCCGTTTTTACGAAAGGGAGGTTTGCGAAAGGGAGGTTTGTCCACCGCCGAAGGTGCCCCCGGCCCAATTTGCCCCCAAGGATTTCCAAGAAGGGCCCCACAGCCTCAATAGCACGGTTGGTTCTCAGCGGTTTTCCAGCCTCGGGACGCTCTCCAGCACCCGCGCCTCGCCGAGAACGTTCAGGGTGCCGGGATCGTCCCAAACGGCTCCTGGAGGCCCGAGCTACGGCCCGAAAACCGATGCCACGCGCAGAGGGGGGTGCCGGGGGGGGAGGGTTTCTTAGAAGCACCCCTGCGTGATAGAAGGTAGGGGCCTTGTCTGTAGATGTAGGGTTGGCGCCTTCTGCGAAGCAGCCTCCTTCTAGGAAGCCTTCCCCCCTCGCCCCACCCCCGTGCGCGCGCCAACAAGGGGAGCGGCTGCCGGCGCGGGGGCGAGCCCTGCTCCTGCTGCATGACGTGCGCTGCGCGGCGATGGCGGCGCGGCGTATCGCGCAGCTCCCCAAGGTGCCCGACTGCGTCGGGCGCCTCTTCGGGGCGCTTGCGGCAGCGCTCGTCGCCCGGCCCCGCTCGTCAAAAAAACAGAGCGCGCGCCGACGAGGGGAGCACGACGCTGCCCTCGTCGGGCCTGTGGAGGTGCCCGCTCGCCCCCCAGGCTGCCCCCCCAGGGGGGCCGCCGCCGCGCCCGCCCGACGGCTGCTTGACTCGGGGGCGACGCCAGGCTCGTGGAAGTCGGTTCACGGAGAGGAAGCAGGCTGCCAAATAATTTCCAGGTGTCTAAAACATGTTCTGAACATGTGAAAGACATGTTTTGAACATGGAAAAAGACATGATGTTTAGAGCATTGTTCCAGCATTTCAAACAGTTTTCATTCAACGATATGACTGTTAGGGTGTCCATTGTCTTGGCATCCGCAGCGTTAGGCGGGGAGATCAGAGGGAAAGGTACGTACCCATACAGTCGGGGCCCTGAAGGAGGAACCCTTTTCGTTGGGGAGGAGCTCCGCGTTCCGTGCTTGTTTCGCAGCTTGCCTCAGGTTTTCCTTAGGTCTCCGGTACGAAATCGAAGTTTAACTGAAGGGAAAAAAGGGTCCCCGTTCCTTATTTCGGGTGCTTTAGGTCAACGACGCGACTTTACCGCTACCCTTGCCTCGCTCTCCGCCTGCGTCGGCCTCTCACGGGAGGCCTTCGTCGCCAATCCTCGGAGGTGCCTCGGAGTCCTGGGCAGGGACCGCTCCCCCGGGAGAGGGCCGTGGCGCAGCGGTATCCGTGGCTTTCTGGGTTTCCCATCAGGGGAGACGCTGCCCTGACCTTCCAAGAGGGCTAACAAATAGCACGCGACTAAAAACCTATCCCAAGGCTATTCTACGTCTTGGCTTTAGGCTGTTTCGCTTTGTTTTTTCCCAACCCTCCTTGGTTGGGTATTCGTTTTGAATAGAGCAGTGTGGTCGCGTCCCTTCTCCCGCCTCCCGCCTCTTCCTGTCTTGCCCGCGGGGGGCTGCGATCTGTGAAACTGTCGCCACTTTCGAGGCCTGCTGGGGGGCCCAGCACAGTGAGGGCCACGGGCGGACCAAATTAGACCTCGCCATCCCTGGGGGGCTGCGAAACGTTCGAGGCCTGCTGGGGGGCCCAGCACAGTGAGGGCCACGGGCGGACCAAATTAGACCTCGCCATCCCTGGGGGGCTGCGATCTGTGAAACTGTCGCCACTTTCGAGGCCTGCTGGGGGGCCCAGCACAGTGAGGGCCACGGGCGGACCCAAATTAGACCTCGCCATCCCTGGGGGGCCGCGATCTGCGAAACTGTCGCCATTTTCGAGGCCTGCTGGGGGGCCCAGCACAGTGAGGGCCACGGGCGGACCCAAATTAGACCTCGCCGTCAAAATTAGACCTCGCCATCCCTGGGGGGCTGCGATCTGTGAAACTGTCGCCATTTCGAGGCCTGCTGGGGGGCCCAGCACAGTGAGGGCCACGGGCGGATTCAAATTAGACCTCGCCATCCCTGGGGGGCTGCGATCTGCGAAACTGTCGCCATTTTCGAGGCCCCTGCTGGGGGGCCCAGCACAGTGAGGGCCACGCGCGGATTCAAATTAGACCTCGCCATCCCTGGGGGGCTGCGATCTGCGAAACTGTCGCCATTTTCGAGGCCTGCTGGGGGGCCCAGCACAGTGAGGGCCAGGGGCGGACCCAAATTAGACCTCGCCATCCCAGGGGGGCTGCGATCTGTGAAACTGTCGCCATTTTCGAGGCCTGCTGGGGGGCCCAGCACAGTGAGGGCCACGCGCAATTCAAATTAGACCTCGCCATCCCTGGGGGGCTGCGATCTGCGAAACTGTCGCCATTTTCGAGGCCTGCTGGGGGGCCCAGCACAGTGAGGGCCACGCGCGGATTCAAATTAGACCTCGCCATCCCTGGGGGGCTGCGATCTGCGAAACTGCCGCCATTTTCGAGGCCTGCTGGGGGGCCCAGCACAGTGAGGGCCACGGGCAGATTCAAATGAGACCTCGCCATCCCTGCGGGGCTGCGATCTGTGAACCTGTCGCCACTTTCGAGGCCTGCTGTGATCCCCGTTTTCGAAGTGGCTAGGAGTGCTCAGGAATTGTAAATCATCAGCTTTATCAAGCCCTTTTCCTGTAGCCAGTGTCCTGCGAGTCTCCCGAATTCCGTCTGCAGACATATGTAACCCTCGCTCCGTCATCGCCCCCTTATAAAATATCCTAAACTATTTGCGCCCCGCTTTTGCGCAGGGGTTGGGTACGTCGCCAGGGTAATTTGTTTTTAGGCCTCCAGTGCTAAATTAGCATGGCGAAGGACCCAACCATGTGCAGTTGTGAATGCCGCAATTGTGCTGGGTGGTGGCGGACGCATGCGGGCGGTGCCACTGGGGCCTTCGGTGGAGCTTCCTATGGGGCCACGAAACGCTGTACTGGGTGGGTGAGACGCGGTCAGCAAGGGCTGTGCTGCGTGGTGGCGGACGCATGCGAGCGGTGCCACTGGGACCTTCGGTGGAGCTCCCTATGGGGCCACGAAACGCTGTACTGGGTGGGTGAAACGCAGGCAGGGAGCAAGGGCTGTGCAGGGTGGTGGCGGACGCATGCGGGCGGTGCCGCTGGGACCTTTGGTGGAGCTCCCTATAGGGCTACGAAGCGCTGTTCTGGGTGGGTGAAGCGCAGGGAACAAGGGCTGTGCTGGGTGGTGGCAGACGCAAGCGGGCAGTGCCACTGGGACCTTTGGTGGAGCCCCCTTTTATGGGACCACGAAACGTGCGAGGGGTGTGCCAGAATGGGGTGTGGAACCGCATGCAAGCGCAGCCACTGGGGCCTTCGGTGGAGCTCCCTATGGAGCCACGAGCGTGTGAGGGGTGTACCGAAATGGGGGGTGGAACCGCATGCGAGCGCAGCCACTGCGGCGTTCGGTGGAGCTCCCTATGGGGCCACGAGACGTGTGAAGGGCGTGCCGAAAAAAAAGGGGGTGGAACCGCATGCGAGCGCAGCCACCGGGGCCTTCGGTGGAGCTCCTTATGGGGCCACGAACCGTGTGAGGGGTGTGCCGAAATGGGGGGGGGAGCCACATCCGAGCGCAGCCACTGGGGCCTTCGGTGGAGCTCCCTATGGGGCCACCCACGAAGCGTGTGAGGGGTGTGCCGAAATGGGGGGTGGAACCGCATGCGAGCGCAGCCACTGGAGCGTTCGGTGGAGCTCCCTATGGGGCCACGAAACGTGTGAGGGGTGTGCCAGAATGGGGGGTGGAACCGCATGCGGGCGCAGCCACTGGGGCCTTCGGTGGAGCTCCCTATGGGGCCACGAAACGTGTGAGGGGTGTGCCAGAATGGGGGGTGGAACCGCATGCGGGCGCAGCCACTGGGGCCTTCGGTGGAGCTCCCTATGGGGCCACGAAACGTGTGAGGGGTGTGCCAGAATGGGGGGTGGAACCGCATGCGGGCGCAGCCACTGGGGCCTTCGGTGGAGCTCCCTATGGGGCCACGAAACGTGTGAGGGGTGTGCCAGAATGGGGGGTGGAACCGCATGCGGGCGCAGCCACTGGGGCCTTCGGTGGAGCTCCCTATGGGGCCACGAAACGTGTGAGGGGTGTGCCAGAATGGGGGGTGGAACCGCATGCGGGCGCAGCCACTGGGGCCTTCGGTGGAGCTCCCTATGGGGCCACGAAACGTGTGAGGGGTGTGCCAGAATGGGGGGTGGAACCGCATGCGGGCGCAGCCACTGGGGCCTTCGGTGGAGCTCCCTATGGGGCCACGAAACGTGTGAGGGGTGTGCCAGAATGGGGGGTGGAACCGCATGCGGGCGCAGCCACTGGGGCCTTCGGTGGAGCTCCCTATGGGGCACGAAACGTGTGAGGGGTGTGCCAGCCACTGGGGCCACGGGGTGTGAGAACCGCATGCGGGCGCAGCCACTGGGGCCTTCGGTGGAGCTCCCTATGGGGCCACGAAGCGTGTGAGGGGTGTGCCAGAATGGGGGGTGGAACGGCATGCGGGCGCAGCCACTGGGGCCTTCGGTGGAGCTCCCTATGGGGCCACGAAACGTGTGAGGGGTGTGCCAGAATGGGGGGTGGAACCGCATGCGGGCGCAGCCACTGGGGCCTTCGGTGGAGCTCCCTATG